GGAGATCTGTCAATTCGTCCACGTCGTACGGCGACGGACGAATTGACAGATCTCCAACCAATAGAAACACTTTCGTACCATCGTATCATCGTACAAACGGATGCATGCGACACGGGCTTTAATGCCCTGAAAATGTTGATGATTTCCTCTAATATACATAAAAAACAACATCAGTTGACTAAAGCTTATTTGCGCATTTTGCATCAAAGTTTAAGGTTGTTGGAACAACAACCTTATGATGTTTTAAGGTCATAATAATTTGACGAATCGTAAATTTTGAACCAGCACTAAAGGAAATTGCTTCAGCAATATGGAACTTCGCTAGCGAATTGCTTTTTCGATTTTTCTAAACAGTATCTACAAGTTAAAACGCAAACTTTGGACATTATGATACGCACTGCTTAGTAAAATTTACAATATTTTCTTCCCGAATCACCCTGTGCAAAATAAAATTTTATAAAAATTTCTAAAGACCAATCAATTGATAAGTGCAGGTCCGCTCTCGAAAGTTGGTATCTACTGATTTCAAGAGGTGTTAATCTCAGGCACGCACCCACAAACACTCGTTTCGAGCGTGAACCTTTCAGGCTAAACCCAGCTGAGGACGACGAATAGACTCGAAACTGGTTCTGTACGTGCGTGAGATTGACTCAATCTGACATTTTTACCAATAATGAGTGTGTAAATTTTAAATCTGATGATGGCGCTGTTGGCTCGCCGAAACGTAATGAAAGAAACGATGTTCAAAATTTTCAAAATGTTTACTTCACACTTTGACTGAGACCCAGGAAAGATAAAAATATCATATTATTAAAGATAATGTTTTTAGGGAACACTGCGAATAAACAGGACACTAATGATTAAAATTCGCAACTTAACTGTGCAAATCGTTTTATTACCATTTACGTCCTTTTACTCTCGGATTGCAATCAATCAACGCATAAATTGAGGTTCACTTGAGTACGAACCGTTGCAGGTCGTATTTTTTTCTTATAATGGCTGTTTTGTCTATGATTTTTCTAGCAACAGTTTTTCACGATTGATCGACATAATTGCATATTTTAACGTATTTTTCAAGTCTGCTCAACTTATGACAATTTTCGATATCAGCTGAAAAAAGGCTAATTTGCTCTTATGCAGCTGAGAAAAATGGCATCTCTTGATTGCATTCGCGGTTTTAGACCATGCAGAATTTTTATAAGGAATCATTTTTTGCCTTTTCATTAATTATAAAACATTTGCTGCACGACTTAAGTAAGGAAAACACACTGTATATTCACATTGCCAAGAGTTTTCAAACAATTTTCTTTGTTTTTTGCTTGAAAAGTTTCAAGCAAAGAAAGTAATTGTGAAACTTTCGTTTTCCCGATTAGGAAAATTGCTTGAAACTTGAAAATGAAGAAAGAATGAACTTGAAACACCCGATAGTTCGATACCGAGGCGCTTCTGGAGCTACATTTTTCGAAGCTTTACACGTTTTTCCGTCGAATCCTCATAGATTATTTTATTACGTGGGTTTCGGAGTTCAAATCATCATCAGTGTTTTTGCATACAGTTTGGTAGAACTTCAAAGATTGTACATTTAATTTAATAAAAAAACGTTTTATTTTTTGCGGGTTGCTACTGGCAACTCAACCAAGAAACAGTGTACGACAGCAAAAAAGAAATTATGCAATACTTTATTCTGGTGATGATAAAAAGATCGAAACGTCGGTTATAAAGCAATCGATGTGGAGTCGTTTCGGAATCGATGGCGTTTTAATTGAGTGACTAACCAACCCAAACTAATGGGTTTTCTAACAATTTTACATTTTAATCGATTATATCGGCTCTTTTTTGAATCACCCTGTATAATAAAACAAAAACGTATAACAAATTAGATTTAATTAGGTTGTGTACCTACTCAGAAAAAATTGGTTGGTAAAAAAAATATCAATAAGCAGCCAAGCCAGCAATTAACAGAAAAAGTTAATTATAATAAAAATGTATTTAAAAACCCCCATTTTAATGCAGTTCTAATTTTAAATTAGGAAGTGCAGCGCGTGGTCCCGCAATGGTTTTTTCTTTGTCAATGAAGTCAAAATCGTATCGGCCAATGCAGATCTAATCGCGTTACCGGAAAATAGTAGTTTTGCAATAACATTATTGTTTATAACGATAACAACACACAACGTTTTTCTTCTCTAGAATAATTTATTCTGTAATAATAGACTAGTTTTTTTAGGATCACAAGGTGAGTGGCAAGTGAATGAACTTAGTTCGGAAACTGGGCTTTTAGACCGTCGTGGAAAATAATTTCTTGCTAGCGTTTCGCAGTTATGAGTGGCTCGCATCTTCAGAGGTGGTTTACTTAGCGCAACAACGAACCCTGCACTTTCGAACAATGAGAAAACTCTTGCGATTTAACTGACTTATTTAACCGATAATATTGATAAAATGTAAAAAAGCACAATAACGTCATAAAAATCTGACTTAATTCTAAGATTTCCAGTGCGATGAGTGTTCAGATTGTACTGTTGCCCAATATAATTTCATTCTTTCTACTTAATGCATGTGATTAACATTGCAGAGTATAAGAATTCTTTATTGTCTCAGGTTTTCCATGCATGAAATGTTCTGGATTGTAAATACTAAAGTAAATACTGTTTGTATATGCACATTTTTTAATTCTTTGCATCACATAAAACATGACGCACTTAAGAAAAAATGTGCGGAAGATTTGCCGACTGTGTTCGAAAATTTCGCAATTTCTTGCTCCCTTTCAAAATGCAGAATTTACGGTTTAACATTTTCATCAGTCCATAGAACTGGCGCCTAAGCACTCGAGTTTTTTAGCATTTTGAGAAATTTTCATGGAATATCACTCCAACTTCTTATCAACTGCGTTCCACATTGTCAACAAAAACGCGCGCTTAATGGAAATATAGAATTGGAAAAAGACTGCCCGAATAGACATGAAACGTAACGCGCTAATATTAATTATTTACATAGTTTTGACCATCATGTGCTCAAACGAATACAAAAATGCGTGACCATGAAAAACTCGTTTAATATACCTATTTGTCGTGGGTATTCAGCGGTAAAATAAAGCGTAAAGGTTGCTGGTTATGCATACGAAAATACTGATGATAGTTTTATTATTGTCCAGTTGTAGGTGGATTCTTCTTAGTGCCGAAACATCAAGGTGAAAAAAATTCGGGCGCATGATGCGAGTTTCAGATTTAGTCACTTATGATTCACATTGCTACCTTCAGAAAACAGTTTTTGCAAGTCTGTTCTGTAGTTTTTTCAGTTATGATTCTCATTGAAATAAGTGAGTGAACTAAAGCTATAAACCCTTGACTTAAAACCTTCATTTGGGATGAATGGAGCGATCCTTTGGATAAAAATCTCTTCAGTGTTTAAGTTTTGCCATTAAGGAAGAAAACTGTTTAAATCGCACTCTAAACGTATGTACTCTAGTAGCATTTAACTACGGGAAAAATTGAGCATTTCTTTGCCAAGTACGTAAGTGCTGCTCCATAGCAGTAAAGCGCTTATTAAAATATGGCCTGCAAAGCCATATAACAATACGCCCATTACGTACACTTAAATCATATCATTCGTAGCGGTACTTTATTAATTAATATGAGAACACTTAATCTAGAATACTAAAGGCACTTCAAAGGAAGGATGACCGTTATTGTGCGGACTACTTGCGGAAAATTTGGACAATCGGTACATCGGAGATCCGGTTGTAATTTTCGAGCAAAAATTCCTGCCGAATGATGCACGCTTTTCGTAAATAAACCCATTGTTAACGAAATATAATCAGGTTAGTTGATTGTTTAAATGTCGCTTATGGAAGGGATTTTCATGATCTTGAATGACAATTTTTTTGGTTGGAGTTGTACTGAGCCCAACCACTGGTTGTTCAGAAAATTAGCATAAAATTAGCATTAAATCATTGCTTACAGCAGTGCGAAGAAGACGAGTAAACCATCCCGATTATGCAGGGTGTTAAAGAGAAAAATGCAGGAGCAAAAACAGTTTCTGCTGCATGAAGAATCCACAGTTTTCCATTTAAAACCACTAATTACAAATTGTATAATGATTGGTAGAAAGGCTCAGTTTAGACGGATTTTTTTTAATCAGCTGAAAA